ATTCATATTTCATCAAATTATTAAAATGTTATTATTTTTATTTTATTTTTTCATATTCAAGTGTGTTTGTTGTAATTTTTTTACAGATTTTAGTTTTTATATTTGTCAGAATAGTTGTCATTTGCTAGATGTCAAGCCAAACACAATGTATTTTAAAAGTCAGTAGCTTAAATTTAGTTATTTGTTTATCTTATATTAATTCAATAACTGAGCAAGTAGCTCATGCTTATAAAACCAGTGTCTTTCTTTTGTTTTCTCAATTTTAGGACATTAAGGCATAACTTGTAGGAAGCGAAGGACAGTTTCATACACCAAAGTTGACATTGCAATACAATGAGTAAAATATTAAATAATTGAGGTAACCACTAAGTGAATGATCAAACAGAAACAGGTTTAGTACAGCAAGTTATACCTGATAATGTGCAGAGTACATTTACAGGTGATAAAAAGAGACTGTAGGCTATTATTTAAATTATTTTTGCAGTAGAGTATGGTGAACACATTTGTTGATTATACTCAATAGTTAATGTAATACTTCAGTTATTTTCAACTCTGCTGTACCATATGTGATCACTTTAAATTTAGCTAGTGGAAAACACCATAAAGCTGCTGTTCAGCAACAGCTGTTGGACTACCTATTAAAGAAATGTGTTGTAGTTATTATGTGTTGGTTTTCAACTACATTATTTTATTGAGTAGCAAATTATATATTACTAATATGTGTGTAATATTTATCTTACAGTACCCATTGTGCTTATAGCCACCCTCTTGTTATGTACCTCTAGGATAATATAGATAATGTATATTAAAAACTTGTGTGACCAAAAAACTGTACGAGAGTAGGGGCCAGTTTCATGTAATGTAGTTTATTTATGTTATTCATAATGAGGGGAGTCCCTATTTAATTAACTACCTTAGATTTAAGTACTGCTGTAAACAGATCTGGAACATAATAGCTTATCTTAATGGAGGATGACCTTTGACACACTTTGGAACTGTGGCCTTCATGTAGACCATTATACAAACCAACATAATATTTAATGGGAACATATTTGTGAACAATACTTAATCACACATATTAAGCTGATTACAAGAATATCTAAGCCATTGTTGGGCAATCCATCTAAACCCAATTATTTGAAATTCCTTGGCTTGTTTTCAATAAATTTGTTTGGTTTGGTTGGTAGCTCTGCATGACCATTTACATATCACAGCACATAGAACTAACTTATAAATGGTCTGTATGTCAGTCTGGCTGTCATTCACATGAAAATTCTGAACATTCTGTACATTTTAGTCAAAAATCATCAGCTATAATGTGGTGGACATAATTCTTTTATGGTTATAATATGTAGTGTAGCACACTGTCTTATTTATTCTCAAACAATAGAAACCTCATCCCTATCATAGAAGTATAACCATTAGTATAGCTGATACTGTTTGGCTTCCAGCAAAAAGAGCACATCACCAGAATGACTGTATAGGCCGTATGTCAATAATTAGAAGATTATTTTTTTGATTAGCCAGGAGGTTGACAACATTTTTTTTTATGTCATCACTTTAAATTAACATTGCCTTTCACAGTTGGCCTAAAGGCATCTGTCAGGTAAGGTAACATATCGACATATCAATCAGAATGACCTAAAAAAGGAAGTATAATGTTTGTTTGGTTGTTTGGATTTTTTTTAGTTTCTTAAACAATTTTTTTAAAATTGTATATAAAGTTTTTATTTAAAAAATAAATATTGAATACAGGGTGAACCCATGACACAGGATTCACAGAGCATTAGGTTTTTTTAAAGTGACAAACAATCCATGACTTTAAAGTGTATTTCCACTTTTGCAGTCACATTTGAGAAAGCCCATCTATATGTTTGTTATGCATTCCTGTTCACACAGCATTCTGAAAAATAACTTCAAAATAACAAAATCTTACCTTTTATGTTTTGTTCAGGCAAGATGGTTGACTCCAGGTTTTTCTTAGCCATTTCACAGTGGTCTGTACTTATCGAAAGGCTAGGGACTGAAGTGTCATTAACATACAATGGGCAAGCCACCGTAGACCCCCATCTCTATCAGCCCCTCCTAACATTTCAAAAATTGAAGCTAGAAGAAATGCTAACCCTTAAAACCCTAACCCACGTACAAACAATTTAAATTCCAGGAAGCATTTTTTGTTTTAATTTTTTTTAGCTTATGCTATGTGAATGGGAACATGTACCAAATATAAAATAGGTGTTATCTCAATTTGTCTGTGAAAGTAGGATTACTCATAAGGCTGAGCTATTAAGCACTTTAAAAATATAGGCTTGTTTTTTTATTTTTTAGGATTCCAGAGCTTAACCTGTTGGATGGATATGTAAATATAAAATATTCATATGCAATATTTCATATTTACCTGGCTAAAAAAGTAAAGATATCTTTAAAAATGTCATTAAGTTTTCAACATAATAAAGAAAGAAATATCTAAAAATGTATGCTTGCTTTAAGCAACAAGAACACTCGGTGATGTTACTCAAAGTAAACATTAACAACACTGTCAGAATTGCATAGTAGTAGGGAAACTGCTGCAAAGAGAGTATTTCATTTTCCTGTTAGGTTTAAAAAAAATGTCAATGCACTTTAAAAGAGTACACAAATAGCAAATTAATTTTGACAGTGTAAGTGTTGAAAAGCTAATTTTTCTGGAAGTACTGCACAATAACAGTATATTTTCTTTTCATCTAGTCTTTCTTTCTTTCTTTCGTATTTTTTTTTTTTACTAAAGGTAAATAGACTGTTTGCTTTACAAGGGAAATTGCAATTTTTATGGAAATTTCTCCTAAGCTTGGTAAATAGTTTGTAATTTCACTTTCAAAAGATTTGCAAGAAAAATAAAAAAGAAGATTTTTGCTTGGACGTGATTGGATAATAGAAGTCAGCAGAACTGTACCCCATTCAATAAACCGTGGGGAAACTTCCCCTGCAAAGTGCAAATTCCCCTGCAGAGTGAACATCCTATTTCCTTTTAATAAATCAACCCTACAGTGTTCCAATGTAAGAGGACATTTGCAGAAAAGTAAAGCAAATCTAAAACCAGAAACAAAAATTAATACATTGCAGCTTAGCAGTCCCTGGATGCTATGACTGCATTCTTTTTTTTGGCTCACGAAAAAAACCCACTCTTTTCTCCCCCTTATGTCTACTCTAATTTCTACAGTGTATGGAAATAGCCATGGTTCTCACACATGATGAACTTCAAAATAAGTTTGCCTTTGTTTATCTCCATTACATGGTGGCTTGAGGGGACTAGTCATCTAATGTCTTTTACACTTGCAGGAAGTGACAAGTACACTGATTTTTTGCAAGATAAATAGGTATTTTCTATACTTGCTAAAAATGTCCTTAGCCTGAAAACTGAAAACTAATGCAGGCACCACATAAAAGGACTAGTAAGGCACAAAATCATGTAGTTTTCTTCTATGTGCATAAAACAATTTATATGGCCTTTGCTTCTATTTTAATTTACACTATTGTGTTACAGATCTTTTACTCTTTTTACGTGCTACTTTTTTACATGCTAATTTAGGTGCCTCATTTTTTAATGTTTTTTTATTATTTGAAATATATTTATGACTTTAATGCCTTTGGATACAGTGTTCTAAATTCAATTTTCTGTAATGAAAAAACAAATTAAATATAAAATAGGTGCTTGTATGTGAGAAAAAGTAGACTATACCAGCAACATAGTAGAATAAATAAATAATAAAAAAAAATTAATATCATTACAGAGCTGCAGATATTACCGATAATTCATTTCCTTTTTCTCAAAAAGCTTTAATTGCAGTTTTTCAGAACTAAAAGTAAAAAAAAAGGTTTGAAAATCAAAGTTCTGCTTTATTTATATCTACTTAATTCTCTTAGATTTGTTCATAATCTGAAATATGACATGGTCAAAAGACACATGAATAGTTTGTCTTGAACTCCTGGTGTTAATTTTACAAACCAAAGTTTTACATTTTCCACTGCATTTTAGACTGCCTAAATCTACTGTATTTATACAGATCTTGCAGATACATTTTTCAAAACGTATCAGTGTTTTTTTTTTTTTACATCCAAATATTGCTCCTTCCTGCCTTTACAGTTATATTTTTACACGTAATCTAAAAATAGTACTTAGGCTTGTCGACCGATTACTATAAACAGCTCTGTTGTCTTGTATTTATGTGTCCTGTGCAATTATTTGTTAAATAATGTCTTAGTAACTTGCAAATTATACCTAAAACTAGTGACATCATTCAAAAGATAATTAGCCTTTTGCAATAAAGAAAGAACAATAGAATTTAGATATATTGCTTAAGTTATCTTTCCTTATAATTTTTCACATTTTTTTATTTGTGACAAATTACAGGATTATAGGCTATATGAACACTTTGCAGTTTGTTTTGTAAATGGTTTAAACTTCTTAAAAAGTATTCTATGGTCAGTGGGTTCATTGCTATCTTTATGTGATCAACAAGCTGTAGTAGTTTGGTTTGCAGAGATTTTCTGTTACAGATATCAATTAAAACGTGTTTATAGTTTTTTTACTTTGATCTTGCAGGTGATTTTAGATGCAAAAACTCATCGAAAAAAGATTCAGCAAAGGTTTCAAACAACATTAACAGATGTTTTTGGTTAGAGAAAAAAGTAAATTACTCCTGATAGGAACAGTCAATTAAAACTATTCAGAAAGTATTAGTTGAGCTTGAGGAATGGAATCTAGCTTGCAAATTGCACCAACTTGCATGTCCCCAGCCTACTAGTGTGTTGCTGGGCAGGGATCTTCATGATGTTTAACTAATAGCTCAGTCCTCACACCTTGAGTATTACGGATATCCCCATAAAGTTATTTGCAGCTGACAGCTAACAATAGGAAATCTGAAATGCAGGGCAGGTCTCAAAATGTTGCTTGGATTACACTTGCTTAGAAGCATATCTGAGGATCAGAAGCATAAAGACCAGTGTAATTAATGAAGCTAATTGAAACTCTATAACTTAAAGTGCATCTAAACCCAGGAGCAAAAAATTTATATATTGCAATACATATTACACAAAATTTGCACAGCATCCCTCCTTGGCCATACAGTGCTAGCAGCCAATCAGCCAATCAGCTGCTAGTTCAGTTCAGGTCAAACAAATAAAATGGCTTAAGGCTATATTCCTTTTTGTTCATCTGAATATCCTGTTAGTAACACTCAATCACTTGCCTGTATCTATATTATTATTATTATACAGGATTTATATAGCGCCAGCAGTTTACGCAGCGCTTTACAATACAAGGAAGACATTACAATTACAATACAATTCAAGACAAGATGGTAAGAAGGGCCATGCCCTGAGGGCTCACAATCTAGTAGGGAAGAGCAGTATTGTCACCCTAGGCTACTTGCTCCTAATTTGTACTACCTCCCCTTTCCTTATCTCCATAACATACGGGGGATATGTTCTGTAGTTCATAAAGGGGAATTGGGCAGAGATGATAACACTTTTTGAGATTTTGGTGCAGCAGAGACAATGAACACAAGAAGCTACAATCTCGCTTGATTTATGGCAGGATTGGCAAATAGTATTTTGCACTTATTGAACAGATGTACTAAAACACTTTCAATGTTATAATTAACAAACCAAAAAGGATATAATAACAGTTTCCTTGTTAGGGTTTACATACAAATTAGCCTACTTTCTCTTACCACTTTTCACTAAACCCTGCTTGGTCAATAAATGTATATATCGATATAGATAAGGCTGTTTATATATATATATATATATA